ATATGAAACGGACCACATTCAACCAACGAATATAAGCATCGAAGACTGAGATGGAAATTTGACCATCTCAGCCCTCTACTGCCCCTCCCCCCATGCTACGTAATTAAAGAGGAACAACACAATGAGTTGGTTAACTCATTAGGAAACAGATTTCTGGTTGGTGGTGATTTCAGTGTTAACCCTAATATTGGGGTGCCCGAATAACCAGTCTTAAAGATCGAGAATTGTATAAAACCATGAAAGAAAATAAATTAGAAATACTAACCACAGGCAAACAAACTTATTGGCCAACGGATTGGACTTCTTTATCTTCAAGCGACTATCGCATATCTCTTTGGATATAAATCCCAGTAAGGAGATAGCATCGGATCACTCATCAATAATGGCCACCGTCAGTACACGTATTGTAAGTCGTCAACAACCACCAAGACTCTATAAGAGTAAAACAAACTGGGAAGAATTCAGAAATAAATTGAAGAAAATTTACGACCAAATGTCCCGCTCAAAACAGCGGACGAAATTCAGTGAAATAATACAAGAGGCGGCTTGAAGCGCAACGCCAGAGAAGCCTAATGCTAAATATCCGGAATACCAATGGGAAGCCAAGAACCAGATTAAGCAAAAACGAAAACTAAGATGAAGGTGGCAGATGAGTCGACATCCCGAAGATAAACGCAGACATAATGAAGCCACTAGAAATGTAAAAGACAACATAAAAAGAATCGAAAACATTTCAGAAATACCTTCAATGCTCAACAACAGCAGCTGACACCGACTATTCGCTCTGGAAAATAATCATTGTCATTGTCCCGTACACTGGTCCCTATCCCGAGCTAAGTTCATTCAGTCCACATCTCGTATCCTGATGCGTGAGGCCCATTTTAATACTACTCTCTATCCACACCTAGGCCTTCAAAGCGACCTGCTCTCTTCAGGGTTTCCAACTAAAATTCTGTATACATTTCTCATATCTCCCATCCATGCTACATATCCTGTCCACCCCGTCTCCTCCATTTGATCACCCTAATTATGTTCTGTGAAGAGCACAAATGGTAAAGCTTTTCATTTTGCAGTTTTCTCCGATATTTCATGACTTCCCCCATTGTATGACCAAATATTCTCCTCAGCACACCGTCAGTGTGTGCGAGACAAAGTTCTACATGCAGACAGAACAAGTAAAATCGTAGTGCTGCATGTTTTAACTTTTACGTTCTTAGACAGCACAAGGGAAGGCATCGTCTTCATCATTTTCATATCTTGTCTGTTCCGTCCTCCTGAAGGGTATGTTGGTCCCTCCAGATCAGCTGTGGCCGCCGAATATTTCTTTTAATTTTGGGGTTGTAGGTTAACATTTTCTTCGGAATTAGTCTGCCTTCCATTCGTAGAACGTGATGTTTCCACTCCGATTTGGATTTTAGAATTTTAGTTTTCAGATTAGTAACTTTCATTAGACAAGAAGGCAAAAGGTTCTGAACTGAACGGTAGCAAACATTCGCCAATTCAATGTTCCCTTACTGCTTCGTGAATGCAAATCTTGTTATACTGTCACGTCTATTAGTGACTATGATATATATAATAATTGACTTTCTGGACATTATCCATCGTCCTGATGTTTCACTGAAAATGTTTCTGGACCCTTCCTCCGCCTTCAGCTGTCTTGTGATGCTTCTCATGTCCGGAGATAGGGACCAACTCTGTCGAGTGAGCACAGCGCAGTAAGCATTGTACCTGAGGACGGAGGAAAGTCTAGTCTCGAAACGTCGTTTTCAGTCAAATAGTAGGATGATTGATAATGTCCATAAAATCAGCCCCTGGATTTAACCACTTATTCTACACTCTAAAATCTTCATGTCTTTCCGTTCCGTCCATTCTTTTTGTCTGGTTTATGCTAGGAGACCACGCGGTAGCGTAGTTCGTTGAAGGGCTATGCTACAAGCCGGAAGGTCGCGTGTTCAAGTCCCGATGAGGTCATTGGATTTTTCAGTTGACCTAATCCTTCCAGCCTCACTAGGGCCTGGAGTTTACTCAGCCTCTAACAGAAATGAGTACCAGGAATTAATTAAATAATTTTCCGAGTAAAGCGCGGCCGGCGCGTAAGGCTGACAACCTTACCGCCATCTTTGAGCCGGTTGCCTAGACAATGTGGGAACCTCAACGTCTCACAACCCTATGGGCCTTCACGGCCTGTTACAGGGATAGCTTTACTTTTTTTTTTCTTTAATTGCTAGGAGACCAAACATATTCAACGCATAAAACAGCCTATCGCACATAATTTAATAGTGAAGTGAGCAGTGTTCCTTCATCTTTAGGATGCTCCGGGTTCGAATCTCGGCTCGAAGGTGGCTATCCTGACTGAGGTTTCTCGTGTTTTTCCTCAGGCACGTTAGTAAAATTCTGGGATATTATCACAAATGTGCCCATAAACTCAACTTTTCACATCTTCTCCGTTTAATTTGCCTATTTTCGTATAATTCGATATCACAGTCTGCCCTACTGACAGCATCGTTAAACAAGCCTAGTTACGCAGTTTTGGGGAACATTTGGCAAGTTCAATCTGAGGTTGAGGTAAGAGAATACTTACGTTCGGCGCCGTAGAAGTATATACTGTGGTCGTCTGGGTTGACACCGTGCAGTCTGGTAAGCTGTTCTCACAATTTAAGAGGCTCCTTCTACTTCCGTTTTTATGTTAGAAATTTAGGAACATCCTGAAGACAGAGGCAGCGCTTCTTCCGAAATATAGGTGACCACCTACATCAGTAGACCGCAAATTCGTGTGCTATACCTGGACTCAAACCCGTCAGTTGTGGGTACGAGACTGGGCTGAGCATGAGCTCCCTTATCTACGCTACAAGGCCTTCAAAGTCCAGAGCGTATCGCACACAGAGGTCCCTCGTTTACTCACGAACAAAGTTCATTTCAATATCTGAGATTATTTGTCAAGGCAACAACGTGTGTGTACCAGAACATGCCTGTCTCTCTGAGAATACAAGTTCTGTCGTAAACATTTCTTAGCCTAATGGAGATTTGTTCATGCAGGTTTCGTTTCTTTCTTCTGGGCCCTGACGCGACGTCTCTTATTTTACTTACTCAAGATTAAGATTCTGAAACGTCGAAAAATCCTATCCACTATCATGGGCGCAGCCAGAGTTGCTTCCAGAGGAGCACAGCCGTAGAATTTTCATACAAATGTATATTTAATGTATTTAAGATTATTTTAAAAAATTTAATAAAATTATTTATTTTGTATTGATATTTGGTAATTTACTTCTTTTTCCCCATTTTCATGTTCAGACGTCGAGGGTGCCCATGTCCACTGTGTTTAGTGAAATGGATCAGAACCCTTGGGCGAAGCCTCAGATGTTGCAAGATTTATCACTGTTCTTCACTGAGTCTGTTATTCATCGAAGCTGTATTAGCTATTAAGCATCTTTATGCTGTGCCACAGCTGTGACAGCTGCCGGCTTCTCGCCGCAGCAGCCCAGGTGAGCCCATGTGAAATCTCTTGTGGGCAAAGTGGTACTGGGGCAGGTTTCCTCCGAATTCCTCCGTTTTCTCGGCCAGTTTCCGTTCCATCAGATGATTAGCTTCTCTCATATATCACCAGATGCTGAGTGCTGCTTATTTGGCTTACCCTTCAACCCTGATTATGGAAAAAGTACGTTCCTACTGAACGCCGGTAAAATCTACCAGATGTCATATCATAGAAGGCAGTACTTTTCAAGTAATAAACTACATAGGCATTTGAACAGATGATGAGAGGCAAGAACATATGCCGGCCCATCCGAGTTGCAGCCCATTGGCTTCCTGCTTTGTGTAAACGGATATGGTCCAAGGACACGGTGACATTCTGAAGCGCCCACAGAGTGCATCATCCCGCAGCGATCATAAATTGTAAAGTTTACTGAACTCTGGCACTCTGACATCAGCACATATGCTACCGGGATGTCAATGTGCTATCTTACTAACTCCATGGAGCTAAGTCCTTCCTGAGACACTAATAGTTGCTCAACTAGTGAAGAAATTTCCAGAATTATATGGAACCCGAATGTTTAATACCGTGTTCACAAAAGCCCGTCTTGGTCCTTATCTTTAGCCCCATTCAAGCCCTCCACACCCTACTTATTTCGAGTCTATTTTAATACTTCTACGTGTTAAGTGACCAGACGTGAGGTTTCAATTGGTAATTTTATTTATTGTACTCCATAATTTCGTAACTACAAGGAACTATAGCACTATCGCTAATTCACACATTCTACAGTTCACTACAGCATGCACTGTCTTCTCAGTCTGCTGCTAACCACTTCTCCATCTCCCATGCCTCAGCCGGCGACCGTGTAAATACAGCTTTGCTCGCCCCGTTGGTCCTCGTGAAATGACCTCGGGACGAACCCAACAGAAAACACCGCTTCCAGCAGTTCTCCTGTTATTGCGTGACGTCACTGCTGTCGTAGAAATGTGTTTATTGCGCGATGACCTAGCGTGTGACGTATTTCTTGACGCGTGGCGTGGTGTGTTCCATGTTTAATCGTGTTTGGTTTGTATTTNACTGTCTTCTCAGTCTGCTGCTAACCACTTCTCCATCTCCCATGCCTCAGCCGGCGACCGTGTAAATACAGCTTTGCTCGCCCCGTTGGTCCTCGTGAAATGTCCTCGGGACGGACCCAACAGAAAACACCGCTTCCAGCAGTTCTCCTGTTATTGCGTGACGTCACTGCTGTCGTGGAAATGTGTTCATTGCGCGATGACCTAGCGTGTGACGTATTTCTTGACGCGTGGCGTGGTGTGTTCCATATTTACGTTTAAGTGCGGCAGCGGCCACAGGGCGTTCACTGAAGCACTGCCTAGCAACGGATGTGTTTACAGAGTCGTTCCCACTCAACGGCTATCTCTGGTGGCTCCACGATTCCTGCTCCTAGCTGACATGTGACAAGATTACTCTCCCGTCTACGCCTAGACCTTCAAAGTCGTCTTAATTTTTTTCTTTCAGTGTTATAGCTGAGATTTCAACTCAGGACCTCCTTGGTACGAAATAGTAGAGGCACCACCTGGAGCGGAATGCCCGATCGTTGTATCGTCATAACGTCAATGAAGCCCATGGGAATCTTGGCACAGTGCAGACGAGTTACTGTCGGCCACAAGATCTACGCACATCCTTATCTGGCGTGAAATTTAGCGGTAGGAATATTTGCTTATAATGCGTAGGTCTTAGAATGACCCGATGTGAAACTCTGCAGTGTGACCGGTTACTCTGAAGAGACAGAACAACTTGTACGGCAGATACAATCTGCAATCGGAAACTTCTTCAGGTTTTCAGTTTTGATGTTCTCACAACGGCGACTATGAAACGTTCTGCCTCCTGAGATTTAATGCCGCGTAGTCCGTGGAACTAAAGCTACGTTCCGGAAGAGCGTATCGTCTCCATCTTCAGGGTCGAGTAAGCCAAGTAAACAGGGCCGCGCCATAGCTCAAGCGGTTAGTCGCTGGCTTCCCACCGCGGCGGCCCGGGTTCAAGCCTGGGTCTGGTCAAGTGGGATTTGTGGTGGACAAAGTGGCGCTGGGGTAGGTTTTCTCCGAGTACTTCGGTTTCCCCTGCCAATCTTCATTCCACCAAATTCTCCATCATCATAATCACCCGGGGCAGGTACAATAGGGCAATCAATGGCCGCCGTGCCGAGTGGACCCAAATGGACTCCACCCCCCACTAGGCGAATTAGGAAAAAAAACCAAGTAAGCTCTGCTTTCTGCTTACTTCGTTCAATGAAACAGGCCTACGTAAGGTCAAGTTCGAGCGGCCGGTCCACAAACAAACGATAGGAGTGCGGTTTCTGTCGCGCATAAAGCCCCATATAATCCGAGTGAAGCAGCAGATAAGGGAAATCAGCTCACGTTGTCAGCACGTGGCACCACTAAAACCCGGCAAACCTACGGAAAATAATATTGAGATTTCACATTTCTGGGGTCATAGCGACTTACGTAATTACTAAATGTTCTTTAATGTCAATATTGCCGTCATGGTAAATTTCGTGAATTTCTTTTTGCTCTTTTGGCCACATGACCACTGGGCCTACTTGATATCAACACATGATATCTTGAGGTGTATATGAAACAGATGTTTTACTTATGAATTTTAATAAATAATCAACATTACACTTTGCGAAAGTCACTTTAAGATCCATTCTAATAGTGTCTTCCTGCCTACCCTTCAAATATTCAAATTGTCTCTTCTCTTAAGTTTTTCTACAAAAAGTTTGAACTCATTTTATCGCCCCTCAATGGGCCTTATATTTCGCCCATCTCGACCTCCATGATCTGACCATTCCAATAACGTCTGGCGAAGAATTCAAATTGTGAAGCTCCTCATTATGCACTTTCCTCCACTCACCTGTTACTACCTCGTCACCCTGTTCTCAGGCACCCTCAGTCTATGTTCTTCCCGCAGAGAAGGAGCAGAATTTCTGTCCTCATTCATAATAGCTAGACATACGTCCTTCGCTTTGTCTGCCCTCCTGTCCGTCCGTCCAGCTGGCGAAATCCTTTTCTCTTAAACGGCGCGACGCAGAAAAAATGGAGAAAATACGTTAATTATGCTGTTACGCGCACAGGTTCGAGTCTAACTAAATTTCTATCCCCGGGTTTTCCTACGTGAATAAAGCACTGCGACAGTTAAGGCAATGTGTACCCAATCTTCATATGTTCTGGAGTAACCATGGCAACAAAACGTTCTTACACCAGATAACTTAGCCGTGTGTTAGGTTTGTTATAAATAGTGTACTACAATTACATATGTAGTTCCGAAGAAAGGCCATTTTAATGCGGGAATACAGTTTTCTTTATACACCTCACATGTCTCTGCACGGGACCATACAAATCGACAGGAGGCATTCCAGGTGATATGGCCAGATTCCTATATTTTGGTCTGGACTTCTCTCTGCAGCTAGCGTTGAATACTTGTGGCTACTGCACATGCACTTGCAGGTTAGTTTAGGGTGGAATTCTGTAGGCTATGAAGTGGCGAGAGACAAACAGTGTAAGACACTCACGGCTTGAGACACGATCTCAGAGGAGCGTATTCGCCGCTGGGCCAAAAATATGAGCCGTCAATTCTAGTCTGCCCAATTCTGTTTCTGACTGCATTACTTCGAACACTGCCAATTAACAGATGTTCTACTCATTTTCATACTCTATTTAATATATAAAATGGTTTGTTTCCGGGGCAAATATTCTTTAGAAAGTCAAGAAAGGAAAAGCGAATTCTAGAACGTTCGATGTCGCGAGGAAGCATGCGTCGGCACGGGACGTGTCACATGGCGTCAGATTGGCTGCTTGCCAGTGGCCGTCGCTTCTGAATGCTTTGATTTTGAACACCAACAGTAACTTGGATGCACTTCATGCCGAATATTTCGGGCTGCGAATAGGCAGTTCTGAACCGCGTTTAACGGCTTAGACCAAATACCTGGACGATCACCTATTAAAGCATAAAAAGGTAAAGGTGAAATTATCCCTGTACGAGGCCATGGAGGCCCATAGGTTTGTGAGAAATCGAGGTTCCCACATTTTCTAGACATTCGGCTCACAGATGGCAGTAAGGTTGTCCGTTTTACGCGCCGGCCGGCCTTTACGCCCCAGGAATATTCCTGGTACTCATTTCTATTAGAGGCTGATTCGACCCCAGGGCCATAGTGCGGCGGAAGGTTTAGGTAAATTGAAAACTTCACCTCATCGGGACTCGAACCCGCGACCTTCCCGCTTGTAACATAGTGCCTCAACCAACTACGCTACCGCATGCCTCATGCATTTCGAAAACGTGCCTATCGGCTGAGACCAAATATCTGAGGAACACGTAAAAAATTATGCATTTCTGAAGCGTGGATAATGGCTCAGACTGAACGTCTGGACGACTAGCTAATAACGTACGCACTTCTGAAGTGCGGCTAACAGCTCAGACGAAACTTTTAGAGGACCGGTTAACGAAGTGTGCAGCTTCGAACCGTGGTTGGTGGCTCAAATCAAACATACAAACAACAAACTCCGTGGCTTTAGTCCACAAGCGAATTATACCAACCGAGCGACCGCCGTTTGACAGGGAAGTTAGTGCCATCTTTCCGGAGCCGCTGCTTTTCCATTCAAGTAGCTCCTCAATTATCCTCACGAGGCTGAG